TGAGTGTGGTGGCAGTCACGAAGTGATGACGTCTTGCTGCAATCAGGGGAACCTGTCTCCCCGCTGTTTGGTGGAACGCTGTTGACCACCTGCATTTCGCTGGGTAGCTGATCCAAATGTGTTGCTGATCGAACTTTGACTGGCACCAAAGACGTTTGCAACATGACGTTGTGCTGACCAGTTTCAAGCATGCCTATGTATCTAACTAATTCTTCGACGCTGAGCGGGCATACGCGGATTCAGTTGTTGCAATCCCCAGTAGTCATTCTTGATTGTGACTTTTTAAAATATTTTTTCATCAGCCACCGTGACAGTAACATGAAAGCCCTCTACTCTCGCTTAAGTGAAGTATTTGTGATCAGATTGCTAATGCGTCGTCTATAACGTGATGCACTCCTGAGAACTACTGACATGCTTCATACTTGAAGAGCTTTGGTTCATTGCGTATCATCGTATCCCAACGGAGTGAAAATTAACTTTTTACACCAATCACTACTTGTCTTGCGAGACTCGATTATTTAAAGGACACCGTCATATAGATCACGTATTTATTATCAAACACCACTCACTCACTTGAAAGTTAAATGATAAAGGGGCCGATACTGTAGCATGTGTCGTTAGCAAGGATGTGTGTTTCAATCAGCTCATCGCCTTTCCCTGAAATGTCACTTTTTATGTTCTTGATTATGAGTCATTAAAACACGATATTCCTCTGTCACTCCCAACAGCACATTGGACTAGACAGAGGGCAGCAGGACAGCAATATCCCAGCATGCACTGTGAGTGAAGACACTGACCTCCACTGATAATGACTGTATTTACTTATACCAGCTTGGGAATCTACTGAACTTTGGCTGATATGACACATATGTGTACACTCCCTCGACTATGAAATAGGGTAAGGCTTGGGTCTATTGACACTTCTCGTTCAAGTTTAAATCATGTAAACCCATTTGGTTTAATAAAAATGTGCTTATTTTGTACTGCGTTATCAATGTAGCAGTTACTCAAAATCCTTACATCACGGTGTCTCAGTTGGACGTAAGTCACTAATTGCCAGTCGCCCCTTAGAAAAGTCTTAGAAAAGTAGCAGTTCACGCGGCAATAGGTGAACAAGTCAATCTAGGACACCAGAAGTCGGTGGGGTTGCACTACACAGTGTAAAACTTGAACAAGTCAATCTAGGACACCAGAAGTCGGTGGGGTTGCACTACACAGTGTAAAACTTGAACAAGTCAATCTAGGACGCCAGAAGTCGGTGGGGTTGCACTACACAGTGTAAAACTTGAACAAGTCAATCTAGGACGTCAGAAGTCGGTGGGGTTGCACTACACAGTGTAAAACTTGAACAAGTCAATCTAGGACACCAGAAGTCGGTGGGGTTGCACTATACAGTGTATTGTAGGAAGCCCATTACTGGTGTCCCCAGCCTTGATATTGCTGGAATATTGCAAAAAGCCCTTAAATCTTACTAACTAACCTTTTCACCAGAGCACGTCATACTCGGATCTGTGTTGTGACTAAGATTCAGGCAATATCAACATCGGCTTTACATATTGTTCCTATTTCATAAGACCAACTCTGAAAATATATGATTTTCATAGACTAACATTTCACTGAACTCGGGACGTGCAAGGCTACCCTACATCTCTTTCTGTAAAACGGGATAACAGTACTATCATAATCTATTCATTCAATGAAGCAAACGCTGTGTCAGCGACATCCGTGTGAGGATCAGTAAATATGGCCTGTTCAAAATCTACTGCGTCCGTCCGTCCGTCACCTGGGATGGTCAATACGTGTTCGCTGGACAGAAAGAAAATGTTTTGAAATTTGAGAAAATAGTTTGGCCTCAAACACAGAATTATGTGCAGTTTTCTAGCAGTGACCGAAACTATATTCTGTCTGCTGGTATACATGTGGAAATATTTCGAAAGAACACTTATAGAAAAAATACGTACACCAACACAAAACAACTAACAGAAATCTCACACCTTGTGAAACATGGGTCATATATCAAATCAATGGTGACAACGAATCGCGAAATATGTTTTTTTGAGTAGTCATCAACGGGTCAATGAACAATGATGAAAGCCTTCAAACATGTCAAATGTTATGCATGATGTAACTCTATCTGTCTTCAGCCGCATCCAAATGTCAAATATTTGATAAACTCTCAGTGATCACATCTGCAAGCTGTGGAGTTTCAACATAAACAAGTGTGAGTGGACCCCTCCTTACATATTGCAGTATCGTATACTGTCACTTCTCTCCAACATTTCATTTGATGTTCCACTTCATACAAGCTGAGAAACAACAACTGATAAGGCATTGTCCAAATTTCATTTCAATGGGACATATAGTCTGTTTCTATAATGTACCCCAGCAAATAAAATGCAACTTCTACACTTGTATTCCTGGTAAACTGTACCCGTATGTTTTCTGTTTCTCCTGAGAGGCGGTCGGGTAGCCTAGTGGTTAAAGCGTTCGCACGTCACGCCGAAGACTCGGGTTCGATTCCCGACATGGGTACAATGTATAAAGCCCATTTCTGGTGTCCCCCGCCGTGATATTGCTTGAATATTGCTAAAAGCGGCGTTAAACCAAACTCACTCACTGTTTCTCCTGAACAGGTTTGCTTTTCCGTTTGCAGAAAAGAATGCTGTGCTTCTAGTTTAACACTCGAAAGACAAACTGAATAAAATGCACTGAATTCTAATTCCCATATCAAAACAGCTTCATAAAAACTGATAATATGGTGGCAGTTTAAAACATACCTAACTCCAATCTGATGATATTGTTTATCAATACACTGAAGAAACCCGCCTTTAACATGGAGATGTTCGTTTTTTTATGTATATATATTTTGGTGTAAAAACTAATATGTTTGAACAATGTGGCCAAATCCAAATACACAAATAAGCAGTAGCTTTATTAGATTTGATAATGTTCAATATCACATGACACAGCTTAGGATTATACACAATGAGAATTGCACTATTTTACCGAACAGTTAAAACAGAACAGTAATCCAAGAAAAATAAGCGGTTAACGTAAGTTGTCTCCTCTCCACATTACCTGTTGCTGGAATAACTTTAACTCGAAAGAGAACTTAGCCCTAAATGTGAAGAGTGTTTAAATGATTTTGTGTCATGGAGCAATGGGTATACACTCAACAACAAAAGTTCCTGTGACACCAATATTTTAGTGTATTTTTTAAACAAGTACAGTTTGGTTTTCAATATTATAGTACATGTATGGCATCAAGTCACAAAAATGCAACTGCCACAGAAAAGCATGCATTCCATGCAAAAGTAGACTTTTATGCAAGCCCCATGCATTTCACTACCCAAGAATGGGTATAAAAACATGTACGTTAACGGGATTCCATATGCATTGTTTAGCATCGTGCTGACAACAACCACTCAGAAAAGCAACAAAATTACGCAATTATTCAACATTACGAAATGCCACGCCTGTCCGAAAATGAGCGTTTGCGAGCCATTGGTATGCTTGAAGCAGGATCGTGTCAACGTGATGTTGCAAGACAATTTAACGTCCACAGAAACACCATTTGGTGTTTATGGCAACGTTGGCAACAGACGAATGCAGTCAGAGACCATCCTCGGAGTGGCAGGCCACGCGTTACCAATAATCGACAAGACAACTGGATTCGAACAACACACCTACGAAATCGATTCCAGCCAGCAACAGTGACTGCAAGAAGGATCTCTGGCCTTCGACGAATATCTTCACAAACCGTACGTCGTCGCCTCAGATGTGCAGGGATTGTCGCCAGAAGACCCGCCAGACGTCCAAGTTTGACAGGAAACCACCGTCAAGCACGTCTAAAGTGGTGCAGACAGCGTCTACGCTGGACGGCCATGCAGTGGGGACAAGTTCTATTCACTGACGAGTCTCGTTTTCACCTCAGCCTCAGCGATGGACGAATTCCAGTGTACCGACGTCGAGGTGAACGTTGCGTCAGTCATTGTGTCATGGAAGGAGATCGGTAGGGCGGCAGCGTTATGGTATAGGGTGGGATTACAGCAAGACTGAGGACCCGTTTGATAGGGGTAGAGGGAAATCTCAATTGACAGCGCTACCGCGACGAGATCATCGGCCCTGTTGTTCTACCGCGTTTGCGTCGTCATGGCCCAGGCATTACCTTTCAACATGACAACGTCCGGCCTCATATTGCTCGATTTGTTCAGGATGCTCTTCAACAAAATAACGTGAATGTCATCCCCTGGCCGGCTCGCTCCCCTGATCTCTCAACAATCATGAACATGTGGGATGAGATGGATCGGCGCTTTCGACGTCAACCACGTGTTCCACAGACACTCCAGGAACTTCGAAACATGCTCCAGCAGATATGGACAGATATCCCACAGAACTTTGTGCGACGCCTGGTCCATTCCATGAGACGAAGACGTGTTGCTTGCATCGCAACCAGAGGTGGACACACGCGCTATTGATTTGTAAATTGACATTTTGGCATGTTCATGTTTCGTATGAAATCACGCATTTTCTGAAGCCAGTATGGCAAATTAAACCATTTGAACACTTACAGGAGTCGTTTATCTGTTGCAAACCGAAATTGTTTCAGATTTGGTAAAAAGCACAACTTTGCATTAAATCTTCGTCAATGTCACAGGAACTTTTGTTGTTCAGTATATAATAACACATTGCATTTATAATGATGCCCATGCGAATAACCTTTTCAATTGGTGCTAAAGAAAGAAAAGGTGAGTGAATTGGAGTTTTTTTGTTTTATTCTGACCCCTTCAGTTGATTTTTTTTAATTATATAACCGACTGAAGAAGTTTGGTCTCATCTTAGTCTTCGTCTTTACTCTACCTTGATGACAAAGTTCTGAAGTAAACAGACACGCTCGCTATATCCACTTCAACGCTTGGAGCAAGAGGAACGCTTCACGGGATTCGGTCACCGCGAGAACCTGACTAATTGCTATATTTAGCAGCAGTTGATACGTTTAAGATGCAAACAGAGACACGGCTTGTCCACTCCACACGGTCGTGTCCTCCAGGCGACAGGATACACCTTCAGGGGCGGTGTATACAGTAAGCAATGGTGCCCGCACTTTAAAACCACATGTGCTCATAGCTAAAACGAGGGGAAATTACTATAATTGTATTGCCGTCTTCCATTGTCATACATATATAATTTGGAACCTTACAATTGGACTCAACTGCACAATGAAATACAGCACGGTGTTTGTGTTCCTTTGTGTCTTGCTACATAGGACGTGTTGTTCAGACTCTATTTCCCCAAAGAACACAGCCGGAGACCATACTAGAGCTGGAACGACAGCTTCTCCGAAACTAGGAACCTCTGGATCAAGCAGACTTATGTCTTCAGAAAATGCACCGAATACCACCCAAACAATCAAAGCAGCAACTGATGCTACGGTCGTCATTGCATCCAGAACCTCTCTTGCTGGTGACGGGTTGTCTACGAGCATCGTCGAGTCGACATCAGATACACTCACGTCATCTTCGGGTAAAGTCAACAGAACTCTTCCAAGACAAGACCCTTCCCTCTCCATGTTGGTCAACATGTTCCTCGCCGCCGCCAACACAACATCCCCGACGTCTTCCTCACTTCCGCTCTCACTCATGGCCATGCAGAATAAACTTCCAGGAGGGATGGGGAACTCCCTCTTGCCGCTTCTCATGGGGGGTGGGGATGTCAATCTGGGGTCTATCACAGGTCTCTTTGAGAGCCTTGGTCCTCAACTGCCGTCCATCTTGAAGGGGCTTATACAGTCAAACACAAGCGGACTGGGAGCGGACGAACGGACATGCTCTGAAGATGTGGATATGTTCCTGGTCGATCTCTTACAGGGGAAACCATGGGCTCTTAGCAGTGAGTACAAGTTTCATAGTAATACTTGAACACATGTGAATATTATTACTTATCCATACATTTTCCCTTCTCTATCACTTATTTTGTGTATCGCTTTACATTCGGAATATATCCCGTGAAGATCCGGGTTAGAATTGGTTTTCAGCAAGCTATGCTTGTAAGAGGCGACTTAAGGGGTTTGGTTTGGCTCGCTGACGTGGTTAATGCAGACCTTCTTCGTATAGCTGTAATATTGCTGAGTGAGGCGTTTAATAAAAAATACTCAAACAAACATTCGGACTCTTCATGCTAAGATAGGTTGTACTTTGTAGTGTTTGATGCATCCGGAAAACCAGGCACCTCCATCATGGAAGGGGCAACGACCTTTTTCGGCAACTTTGACGAATGTCTTGACGGACCCAGGAAGGTGGACCCAACCTCGGGTAGAGAAGTAAAGGGGGACACCTGCGTTGTCTCCATTAGTCCACCTCCACAGCTGATAGGCATGATGGCAGGAACGGTATGTATAACCCTTTAGAGGTTCTTGAACATACAAGGAACGCCAGAGAACAATCAGTCTCAACAGATTCCATTGGGCGTAAAAGGCAACATAGCAGGGAAAATTATATGAATGGATCACTGAAAATCTGTGATGACACCAGGTGTTCGCTAAAAGGGTAAGTATGTCACCTTATAATGTGTAAATATGACTATTAAGTTTTTTCTATCCCGATTATTAATACTGTACTAACTCACAGTCATGTTACTATCTGTACAGGGTGGCAACGTGTTCTCCGCGATGGCAAATAGCATAATGATCAACTGGCATCTGTGTGTCCCTGATACGTGCGGCAGTAACAGTGTCAAGAGTGGTATACAGAGATGTGAGTAGAGGGTCATCGTGTAATCAGTGGAATGTTTGCTGCTGAGTGTGGTCACTGTTTAAAGTGTTTGTTGTGAGAATGGGGTCAGGGGCTTATACATAGTACTAGGAACTCCTAGTACAGATTAGCTACTTGAGCAATAGACTTGAACCACTGTCACCCTTAAAATATGGTCACAGATATTTTATTTCTTGCCCTTGCCCTGCATTTATCTTGCCAACATTGTAATGATAATCTTTAATAATTTTAATTATTTATACAGTGCACATAAACCACAGTTACTGAAATCGATCTGTTTACTGTAATGTTATCATTGTGTATCCAATTTACGGATATGACCTGAAGTTGGTAAGTTTCCAGATTGGTGAACTTTCATTGGTGATTCCAACTGATTAACAGAGACATAGTCCTAGCCCAACCATCATGGCGACTCAAGTTGATTAACAGAGGCATAGCCGTAGTGTTATCGCCAGGTGACAGGGAGATTTTATGGGTATCCTGAGGCTTAATTTGATCATCAGTGATACTTTGATCATAAGAAACCAAATCAATAACGGGTCATATTTTAGTACCAGTTTGCGATGTTTGCTTCCTGGCATGCCGTCAAACAATGGAGTTCTGCCGAGTATGGGTACTTGGTATATCCGCCCTTCAGCTGAAACCTTTTGTCTAATCACAGCAGGTCCTATTTCACAGGTGACAATCTATTCAAACCAAATCATAGAAGGAAGAGAATATATGGATGTCAACTTCTTTATTATGAGGAACACAACGTTTCGGCCCCTGCTATGTCCATTCTTACACCTATCAGTGCTAATTACCCTCCATCCCCCATCCCCCAAACCCATTTGCCCAGTGTCCATTACCAATTACTTATCTATGATTACTTAAGTGTTGGCTTCCATTGTCTATTTCTAATCACCTATCAGCGCCAATCATCTGTTGGCTTCCTTTGTTAGCTTGTACCCTTTGTTAGTTTCCACCTTTTGTTATCTTATCAATTTTGTTGTTCTTACATGTACATATATATGCTCTCTGCCTCATGGCATTCATACACCTGATGAAGGAGTAAGCATGTACTCCGAAACGTTGTGTTCCTCATAATAACGAAGTTGACATCCATATATTCTCTTCCTTATGTGAATCACTTCTAAATGCCTTTCAAAGACCTCATATTCATAGACATTATTCTCTTGTAATATTACCAGACGTTGCATTGTCAACATGTGTGCTAAATGTGACATCGACAACCTTCATGTATGTTGTCATATGCGTAGTCGGAAATGCAGCATTTGGATGATTTACTGTGAAAGGTTTATGTAGGTCCCTTGGGCTATTATTGTGGAAATTATGAAATTCTAAAGTTTCATGGCTCGGATTTTCTGTTATGTTTTAACTGTATACGTATGTCTGTCCTGTATACTGCTAATCCTATTATGCCGTGGACTTGTTGTTGTCTAGGGTTGTCACAGGTCAACATGACTGTGAAGGGTGTCGTGTGCCATGCGGAGATCAAGTCTGGCCCCGTCGGTGATGACACTGCCGCAGTAGGAGCCATGTGAGTGCAGTACGGTGAACCTGTCTAAACCGGACTCTTAGTAATCAGGAAGAATTTAGGGATCATAAAGATTTTTGAGGATATTTTTATGAAATTGTGTGCTCAGTCTTCACAACATATCCCCCCAAATATTCCCCTTTTTGTTCAGAGGAGATCTATTCGATATACGGAATGGTAATTATTTTCACTACAGAGGCCATTGTCAGAAACATCGATATCTATGGTTTTTCCGTGCAGTAAAATTACATTTCAAAAATCTATTTCTGCACCATGGAAAACCTAGTATGCAGATGGAGACATTATCTGTGAAGTAAAAGAGTCAGAACATTTCCATAATAAAAATAGATAAGAAAATTGTTTGTGAAATTGTTTTGGACAACTTTCCGAATAAGTGCACAGTTGAAATATGTGAGTGAGTGAGTTGGGTTTAACGCCGCTTTTAACAGTATTCCAGTTATATCGCGGCGTGCCAGCTTAATGTGGGAGGAAAGCCCGAAGTGATGCAGGTCTCAGACGTTTACCACTTCGGTGAAACACACGAGCACGGGTATGGTGCTGACAAACCTAGAAACATAATCGGGGCGAACCGGGATTCGAACCCCCAATCATGGGTTTCTGGCGTGCCCAAGGGACGCAACTCTGCACAGCGAATCGCGGCGCCTTAGACGACTGGGCCACCCGTGCCCCCTGAAATATATACAATAAATACAACATTATAAGCAAAGCAACTTCGGCAAGCGCTATTTCAGTATCTGTAATTGCTTTAGCAGCGCCCAATGACGAGCATCCACCCCACAATAAGTTAAATGATATCATGATAAAATTAAATATCACAAAGTAATGCAAGCTATTTGCAATACTGATATTTCTTGACAACTGCAATGTAGGGGTCCTTGCGGCGTTCTGGAAATGTTTTGACCCGAGTGGCTTCTGTTGACAGATGTCATTTCGTATCTGGTTGAATAAGTGAAGGAGTTGGGTTTTACGGCGCTTGAACAGTATTTAAAGTGAGGACAAATGGGGTTCAAAATTAGCGTTCAAGATAATTGCACTTGCATAACGACATGTACTTGTCCGGACAATATAACAAGGAGTGGTCGGCTTTCAGTCAGTATAATGTGTCTGAGTGGGGCATCCGTGTGAAACTGCGCAGCGTATCTCAGGTAAATGATTACCACTATGAACATTACATACAAGTAATACGATTTCACTAATTTACAGCGTTCTGACGGCCATCTTGGGCTGTTTGGTCCTCGTGGGGTCAGCTCTAGACATGAACATCCGGGCTTCCAAAGGTCGTCGTGATCAGGTTCCTGTGTCCCCCCGACTGGATGCAGTTCAACTCTCTAAGATCAGCACACAGCTTCAGTCTCACGACGTGGGGGTGCCAGAAACGCCAAAGGGTAATATGGCACTGATGGACGAGTCACGACCCAACGTGGAGACTGTTGGAATAGACAACCCTGCTGGTCCGAAAGTACAGGAGACGAATGGTGGACACTTTGTATATCCTAACGGCGGACAGCAGCTCCGATCAGCGGACAAACAACATGACAACAAATATAAGCCCAAGTGTAGGTTATGCATCAATATTGTTAATCTCCTTACAAATAATTTCAATTATGAAGACCGGTATATAATAAAATTGTATTAATATTGTTTCGAGGCGATTTCGAAAAGTAAGCCCTCTGAACTCAATTCGCGCAGAATTAATCAGAAAATGACTACACAAGACAACTGAATAATCAATACATTATACTGAAATACAGTTTAAGATGTACAATGAATATGGAACTTCAATGAGTCATTTAAGTGGCAGCCGCATCAAGTAAGAGGCCCTATATTTAATGTTGGTACACTGTCGAATACCATAAAACAGGTCTTTCTTTGTTCTCGAATCCAGAATAGTGATGGAAGATCTCGTGAATTTGATCTATCCAAATGGTTACTACCTAAACCGCACTTGGGAATTAAATTAGAAACAAATCAGGTCCAGAAACGTTTCGAGCGATGAAATCTACATTGTTCATGTAAACAAAAGGGGCGGATAACTCTAAATTCTAGTACATGACCATTCTGACAGTCTCTACTGACTGCTGTTGAGTGCTGCTCAAATGCGGTTACGACAGATCTTGACATATATTTTACCAGTTCAATAATTTGCTGTCACTGACAATTACAAAACATATAGTTACACCATTTTCTACGGCCACTAAAAAGATGTATACATCACAATATCTACAGTATATTTATGACGACATTTTGATTAAAACTCCTGTATATTGCTGTTTAGAGTCATGGCAAATAGGACAATAAAACTATTGGAGTATCTATACTCATCTACAGGTTTCACACCCAGTGCTCGTAGATTTCACCAAATTTGTAAATACCTTGGAAATGCTACACGTTGGGCTTTCTTCCGAGGCTAAGCCAACATGGCGTGATATGACGGAATCGGAGTTTGTCATGAACATGTCAGACCTGGATGCTCCTCAGGTATTCCTTCTTTTCAGTATGGCAGCGTGTCCTGTTGTGTTTCTCTGCCGTCAGCAATGGGGAGAAGATCCTCAGCGTCAAACGCTCACCTGGATCTCTCACCTGTCTTAACGGCATCCGGGTCCTCAGCATGGGCTGGGTCATTCTGGGTCACACGTTCCTCACTCTCCTGTCTAACGCAGGTAGGTCGCCACTGTGTATCCAAAAATCAAGTATACCGATTTACAATAGTTTGTCTCAGGCAAAAATCCAATATACTTTTTAAACCCATGTGAGCTTGCCGCGCAGATTTGCCTCCCTTAGCTGTCAGGAAAATCCGCATTCGTGACCAATTCGTGTTATTCCGGGACAAGCCGAATAGCGACTCGTGCCCTTGTCTTGGCCATTTTTGCGACTGGGTTCCGTCTTAGCGCAAACGGGCATACCTAAAACAATTGTCAACTCGTTGCGTAATGGTTCATATATATTTCCACATATATTATATATGTTTCAGATACAATTTAAAGCACATCTGGACATGTAGAATTATACAGTATGATTGAACACATTTAACTGTGTCTTGGGTATATTTTTAGATACAAGACATAAAATCAAAAATTATTTCTGAGGGATTCTTTGACGAAGAACTTGAAATCATACACTCAATCTGATTGGTTTGTCGTATTTTCGCACATAATATTTATCGATAGGGGACGAGTCTTCTTGCAGATTACGGAAAGGGGCGAGTGGTGACGAATGGAAAATTCGGTGACATGTTGAATTTCTGGTCAAAGTGATGGAAAATCCCTATAGGCTTACCATACACCGCTATCTGGATGAGGAACTACTTTCCTAATGTTCTATTTTTTTAAGTATTCTTCAACGAACTTTTAATTTTGATATAAAAAAACATAATTTGTAAACAGCTGATATGAATTGTATGTTAAGTACACATTTTAACGAAGTATATTTGATACAAATAATATTCAATACGGTATGGCACGAGGTAGACGATTCTACGCATGTCCGACTGATCACATGACACTTCCTACCATGCAACGGTAAAAGCCCAGATAGTACTTCAAAGTACAACGACTTGTGTCAGCTATTTACGTTAGACACAGTTGCTAGGATACATTGCAAGTTAGACGTCTTATTACAAAAAAAATCTCCGAAGTAAGACTTTATGGCAGACAAGGTGTTGTTGCATTATGTTTTGCAGAGAACCCACAAACATTCGGCAGACTAACACAGAGCTTCAGTTTCCAAATTATCACGAACGCAACTCTGTCAGTCGACTCGTTCTTCCTGCTCAGGTAAGGTCACAGTAAACAGCATATACATTGTATTCATATTCATATTTTCCTACAATTAGCTGAACCATGTCTTAAAAATGTGTTTCATATGGAACCCAGGAGGGACATTATTTTCACGATGTTTCCTCTACAAAGACAAGCAAACAGCGTTAAAATAAATCCAAGCGAAACATCGCCACAACGCGACATTTTGAAGAATTGTCGCACTTTGAATAATATATTTTGTTAACCAAAGGACGACAATGCGACAATCAAAATATCAAAAGATCAAGATAAACATATGTCACGTCGCTTTTCGCCACATCTAAATGTGTAATGTGTTAAATGTGCGACATAGCCACATATTGATAACGACGCATTGTCGCCCATTTTCCATTTGTGGGTCGCATGTGTAGTAAGTGAATTAAATCAGCACATTGTTCAGACATGGTTACTCCTTTTTTGAGCTCCAATGATTCTAAAACCAAAATACCAATGGAAATGCGTTAAACCCAACTCTCTCACTCAAACTGATGAACTCGCTGTGCAGAGTAGCGTCCCCTACTAGGATCGCTGGTTCGAATCTCTGACTCGTCCTGATCATATTCCCAGGTTTGTCAGCACCATACCGATTCTTGTGCCAAAGTGGTTAGGTCTAAGACAAGCATAACCTCGGGCTTTCCTACCACGCTGCGATATAACCCAAATACTGCTTATAACAATACTCACTCACTCATGATATCCCCATTACCGATAAGACAATTTGAGATCTTGTTAAATTAAGAACATATTTCACAGTAATGTTTTTTGGTCTCTGTATACTTAATGCATGAACCTTAAGATAACCGACTTTTGAATGCACATTTGTAAATGTTATAACTGAGTGAGTGAGTGAGTGAGTGAGTGAGTGAGTGAGTGAGTGAGTGAGTGAGTTGGGTTTAACGCCTTTAGACAGTGTTCCAGTTTTATCACGGCGTTTTAGGAATAAAAGCCCGTAGTGACGCAGGTCTCAGACGTTAAACACTTTGGTGAAACCCACGAGCCCGGTTATGGTGCTGACAAACCTAGAAACATAATCGGGATGAATAGGGATCCGAATGCCCCATCACAGGTTTCTGACGTGAACTCCAAGCGTTGTCAAAGCGTAATCAAATTGTACTCATTGTGTACTCGAAGCGTACTCCAAATGTATTCACTGAGTACTGGAAGCGTACTCCAAATGTATTCACTGAGTACTGGAAGCGTACTCCAAATGTATTCACTGAGTACTGGAAGCGTACTTAAAGTGTCCTCATCGTATTCTCGAAGTTTACTCACAATGTGCTCACAGTGAACTCGACGTGTACTGAGTACATTCACAGGGTTCTCACAGTGCCAGCGGCGCTACATTCGAGCCCAGGAATTCCTGCCTAGTTCGGCAAGGGTGGAAACTGGACTTTTATAGTCAGTTAACTCGATGGCCTCGGGGAGATGATTTTATAGTGCCCATGAGATACAAAGCCGCAGTTTAATACGAGTACCCCACTCAGACACAGTATACTGACTCCGAGCCGACCAGTCCTTGTTTTAGCCCCTTAATGCCGAGCGCCAGACAGGGTAACAACAAATACCATCTTTTAACGTCTTTTGGTAAGGCGCGGCCGGGGATCGAATCCCGGATCACTAGACCACAGAGGCGGTGCAATTTCAATGAAGGGGTTTATGATTAGATAAAGCTTCTTACATTAAAGACAAAGTGTAAAACAGGTGAAAATCACGGAGACTCAACCGAAATGCCACAACAAAACACGATCTCCAAAATTAATGTTTTATGTTGCCAGTGGCCTGTTAGTGACGTACTTGTTCCTGAAGGAGACGGAGAAGGCTGGAGGTCTGAAGGTGAAGCACATGATCCTGTACTACGTCCACCGCTACTTGAGGTCAGTCAGCTCTCAGCTGCTGGTGTTGTGTTTGTAAAACAGTCTTTTGTATTATAAACACTACAATATCCCGTACATGGTACCATATCTGTCAATTGTACCTCTAACAGGTTACTAAATTATTACCTTTCAAAGTTATTTGTACAACTCAAATTATGATGTTGTAGACATGGGGCAATCCGTGCATGAACTGTTGTGCTGACACGGCCCTCTCATTGTAGGTGATGTGAAAGGGGTTTAAAGTCGCGTCCAAGATTATTGCACTTACATAGCGAAGTGCATGCACGTGTGTGTGTGTGTGTGTGCGTGCGTGCGTGCGTGCGTGCGTGCGTGTGTGTGTGCTTGTATTAGTCCGGACTGATGCCGATTTATAGTGGTGGCTCAATGAGATACTATGCCGCAGTTTTAACATGATTACCCAACCCAGACACAGTACACTGACTCCGAGCCGACCAGTCCTTGTTTTAGCCCCTCAATGCCGAGCGCCAGACAAGGAAACAACAACCTCTCATTGTAACACAGACATATGTGCACGGAACATTTGGATAGGTTTTACCCATGTCTATAAGATATTTTTATTCTTGTCAGACTGACTCCCGTTTACGCCTACGTGATATTCATCAACACGTTCCTGGTGGTGTATTTGACTGACGGTCCGACTTGGGTGGGGCCTTCCGACACCCAGTTTTGTGTTGACAACTGGTGGACAAATCTACTCTACATCAATAATGTATACAGAGATGAAAAACCGGTAAAAAACAAAATAGAAAGGAACATAAATTGTTAAACAGTATTTTAAAAAGTGAATAGTAGATAATTCGGTAGGAAAAAAATAAACACTAACCAAACAAGTAAGCAACAGTTACAATTTAACACATATTTCCCATTTACACTATAACTGTGACGGGCCTCGAAAAATGGGTCTTTGCCCATGTGACATTGTACCCCGTCGTTGTGGGTAGTGTTGGAATGCGATTAACCACTTGTTTTTCCTCTGTTATATAAAGTGAGTGAGTGAGCGAGTATGGTTTTACGCCGCATTTAGCAATACTCCAGCAATATCATAGCGGGAACACCAGAAATAGGCTTCACACATTGTACCCATGTCGGGAATCGAACCCGACTGTTCGGCGTGACGAGCGAACGCTTTAACCACTAGGCTACCCGACCGCCCCTGTTATACACACACCCTATGACATACATTGCCTATTTTGCCGCTGCTTCAGATAAAAATGGATTAACTCACATACTCCTTTCTTTCAGTGTTTAGGCTGGGGGTGGTACCTGGCGAACGACATGCAGTTCTACGTGGTAGCACCAATGGCACTGATCCCGTTAGCTTTAAGGTAGGGAGTCTTATATCATCACTGTTCGGTATGTTTTGTGTTATATTATATGTCTGTACAGTTCTCGACACATGCCACGTTTATCCAATGATGACTGGTATGTGTTATTTGGACAGCCATCTCACACTTCTAAACTGCCTGGCAAAGAAACTATACACTTTTAACTCTCATCAAGAAAAGACAAACAAAACCGCTTTGGGGAATGGGTCAATATTTAATTGACAATCAATTGTTTATGTGTTAAAACAATGTAAAACGACTGGGGAAGACTGAGGATCATGAGTGAGTGAGTGAGTGAGTGAGTTGGGTATAACGCCGCTTTTTTAACAGTATTCCAGTCATATCACGGCGTGTCAGCTTAATGTGGGAGGAAAGCCCGAAGTGATGCAGGTGTCAGACGTTTACCACTTCGGTGAAACCCATGAGCACGGGTATGGTGCTGACAAACCTAGAAACATAATCGGGGCGAACCGGGATTCGAACGCACAATCATAGATTTCTGGCGTGCCTAAGGGACGCAACTCTGCACAGCGAATCGCGGCGCCTTAGACGACTGGGCCACCCGTGCCCCCTGAGCATATGGGTGAGGCGCTGTGTCCTCGCGGTAGTAGAAGCACGTGCGGATCGTGACCTGAGCAGCGGATCGGCTGCGTTGTGCTTACCGAGTTAAATCTAAATAAAGCTTTACTCATTATTTACCACGAAAATATTACATTATCAGAACGTTACTAGGCTGAGTGGGTGGGTGAGTTTGGTTCAACGCCGCTTGGAACAGTGTTCCAGTTACATCACCACCCGTGCCCCTTTTAAATGCTTAGGACAGACCGCCTGTGACATGTAGCCCGTGAGGAAACACAGTGTTTAAAGCGCTGGCTCGTGACGCCGAACACCCGCGATCTAAAAAGGGTACAATGTGTCAAACCAAGTCTTTGTGACCCCCGCTGTACTATGACTTGAATATTGCATGGATCGAGTCGGCGTAAATCAATAGTCATTTAATCCTAGTTGTGGCGTCGTTTCAGCTTCAGCATGAAGAATCGCACTGCTCGCAAGATCCTCAAGGTGGATGGGTTATGTGTGATTCTTGGCTTCCTCCTCACCAGCATCGTCTCCACCGCCTACATCACCCACTCCATCGACGGCGATCTATTCCAGTGCGTAGCCTTCTCGAGCATCTCACCCATTGATGTCATAATAGTTCATAGACAAGCCAATATACCATAAGGAGTTCTTTACAATGATATCTGATAAGCAGTAAGTGAGTGTACGTAATCCGCACACTCGAGTACAGAGTAAATGTTTAACTTGGAACCGAGTGACAGCTTGCTGATGCTTACTGGACAAGGATAGTCTGTCTCCAATCCTCTGTTATTATTTGGTTTCAGTAATGGATTTGAGTTCTTCGACAAGGTGTATGTAAAACCTTGGTGCAGGATTGGACCATTCGCCATAGGGATGGCGCTAGGCTACATCCTTCAGAGGAAGAAATCGGAGCTCAAGATGTCTCCAGTAAAGGCGACCAACTCATATTTTGGGTGCTGGGGTGGGGTCGGGGTGTGGTGAGATGTGGTGTGGGGTTGGTAGATGTGTGTTTGTGTGTGTGTGTGTGTGTGTGTTTGTTTGTGTGCGTGCGTGCGTGTGTGTGAGTGTGTGTGTGTGTGTGTGTGTGTGTGTGTTGGTGGTGTTCTTGTTCATCTGTTTCCGTAAGTGCTAGAATATTATTTGACCCAAGGAATCTGCCTCAAACAAAAATCCAATGCAATGCAATAGTATCTCTGTGGGCTAACGCTATAAAATCGGCATACACCCGGACCAGCACCAGAAACCACACACGCACGTCGCTGTGGAAGTGCAATATTAATAATTTTGAAGGCGATGTTAAACCCCATTTCACCCCAAAAATATCATTAGACTTTTCTCTTTTGAAGGAGCATATCCTGATTAAAGGAATATTTGGAATATTAGGTTCGTAACGGAAGTAGCCTGGTAAATCACTTGAAATAGGTTAAATTACCAGTTTCTGGTAACCAGTCATAGAGATACCCTAAGGATCTCAAAAATGTATTTGGAACCTGGGGAAACTTTTCGCGCACACTTTGGCAAGCTTAAGTGTACACGCGTGGACTGTTTGGTGACTCTTTGTCCCATTCCCCTCCCTGCAACCCCCCCCCCCCCTTTATTTGGGTGTATTGAGAATGTTGCCCGTGGTTTGCTCCTACCGCAAATTGTATACTGTTTGGGGCTTTCGATATTACTCTTGAAGTTAAAGGGGTTACTGAATTAAAAATCACCGAATTTTGTTCACAACCTCCAATAGCTATGTCATTATTTTGGTGATTTTGATATATCTTAGTCATACTGTCGAATGAACATTCGCAAGAGATTTCCATATATCTACAACACATGGTATGGTTTCCAAAAGGGGTAGGGACGGTCGGGTAGCCTAGTGGTTAAAGCGTTCGCTCGTCACGCCGAGGACCCGGGTTCGATTCTCGCCATGGGTACAATGTGTGAAGCCCATTTCTGGTGTCCCCCGCCGTGATATTGCTGGAATATTGCTAAAAGCGGCATAAAACCATACTCACTCACTCAGTCCAAAAGGGGTCACGTGACCAGCCCATAATGCCTTATTGTCGGAAATTACGTTTGAAACCGGTTTGGACGTGCCGAGAATATGAAGAATAAGACTTTCTGTAGAGATATTTGTTACACGCAAGCATCTGTCACCCAACTATTGGTATTGTTTCAATTCCAGTTCCTGCAAGTCGTGGGGTGGCTCCTGGCGCTGGTGGCGGCCGGGGCCTGTACACTGGACACCTATGACAACTATGGTGAGGGGAGACCCGGCTGGGGAGTAGAAGCCAGGACGGCTCACGAGACGCTGTATAGACCCGTGTGGGGGCTGGTTTTGGCGTGGGTCATCTTCATGTGCTGCAAGGGCAAAGCAGGTGCGTGTGTATTGTTGATACAGTCCTAGATTGTAGTCCGTGGTTGTACATAGAAGCGACACAAGCCGTTCATAAATCGTATAAGAAATCTCTGCTAAAAGCATCAGAGGCCATTATACGATTCCGATTGTATCATAAGCATGATGTTGCCAGATGTTCGCGAAAAGGTGAGCGTTTCATGCCCCACCGGCCGCACATGTTGCAAACACATGCAAAGGTAAGGCAAGCGTTCTGAAAATCCAAAATAGGGAATTGCATGGGACATCATTTTTGTCACTGATGCGTCAAATTTGGAAAGGTCTTCCACGTATTTAACTTTTTGAAAGCTTTACTGAGAGGCCTTAATGGTTTGGAGCAAGCGTCGTATGAAGTTCTTTGAAATCTTCGTAGCATAAGCATGCAAGATTGTATTAAAAAAAGTGTGAAATGTAGACTACAAAGGCTGCAGTTAGTGGAATAGTGTCCGACATGAAGGGAAAATTGGCTGAGGACAACCACTTGAAGGACTTTGATTAGTTTGGTACTGAGGTAAGCGATGTTTAAGTCAAAGTGGATTACATAGGATTCGTAGGAAAACTGTGTTGTATTCAAAATGTGATAAGTGATTTCAAATGACAAATGGGTCCGTAATCAACATTTTGTCAAGCATTTGTGTTATTGTAGTTGTTGATTTCTCATAGGTATTACATAGTGTAGACACCCAACTATTTCTTTTACATGTTATCACTGTAAACTTCCTCCTTCCCCAGGCATAGTGGACTGGATGTTGTCCTGGGACTGGTGGCAGCCTCTCTCTCGACTCACATACGGGGCCTACCTCATACACCTCTTGTTAATCACGACGGAGTCTGCTACCATGCGGTCACTCTTCTTTTATTCATCAGGATATATTGTAAGTTATATGTTATTATTATGTTTTATATTATAGTGAGTGAGTTTGATTTTACGCCGCTTTTAGCAATATTCCAGCAATATCACGGCGGGGGACACCAGAAATGGGCTTCACACATTGTACCCATGTCGGGAATCGAACCCGGGTCTTCGGCGTGACTAGCGAACGCTTTAACCACAAGGCTACCCGACCGCCCCCCTACATAGAACAGATGATGTAAAAGTGACTTAGGTAGAGGTGGATCAAGGGACGCAAAATACACAAATTGATGACACTGTAATTGTATCCTACCATGTCAACAAGAACGTCGAGCTCACACACATCATGATCTTTGAAACTACGACTAAGAGGCGACAGAAATGTTATGTATTCCAGGTGTACCGCTTCTTCGGCTACGTGTGCATGTCGTTCATCTTCTCCTTCCTGCTGGCCATCCTGGTGGAGGCGCCCATGCTGCAGCTGGAGAAGTTGGTGCTGTCCTGAGTCACAGCAGCTTGCATCATGACCAGGGCCAACTTGCACAAAGCGATCTTAGCCTTAAGATGATCGTAACTCCCATGCTTTAACATAGGCTTACAATAGTCGTAGCGCTAAGATCGCTTTGTGCAAGTGGGCCCAGTCTCATTAAAATCCACAAAGTGATCGTAGCGCAACGACAGTCCTAAGTTTATGTTAAAATATAGGAGGTACGATCACTTTAGCGCTACGGTAGCATTGTGGAACGGACCCCAGATCTTTTACTCCGATATGATACATGCCTAGATCTGAGGACACCTCCATATAAGGTTGAATCAGGTGAACCCTAAGCAAAGCCCAATTAAAATAGATTGTTGAGCCAATCTGATGTCAGCTTTTTAATGCAATTCGGCTTAATTTCTTAACCGACACGATTCGGAAATTTCTGCCAAAGGAAATCGCCAATCCTTCCATAGTAACCCTCTTGGGTAGAGATACAATGTACCATGGCACCACAAACGACAGCATATGTTATTCAAACAATGTAATAGTACTGTAATTAGTTTTCGCATTCAGATTTCCTACAATGTATCCGTTTTCGAGATCAAGAAATCAGATATGCTTGTCTCAATCTTTCGCTCGCTCATACCGAAAATGTAGAAGCCTCTACGCCTATTGGTTGATAAGAAAGTTCAACCTTACAATTGACTATCCAGTCAAGCATTTCGTTATTTTGTAGATGAATAGCCAGCTACTACTACTACTACTACTACTACTACTACTACTACTACTACTACTGCTAATGTTATTATTATCAATATTCATGTTATTCACCTAACCTGATTATTTTGAAAACAACAATTGAATAAATAATTATATATTTCTCAGTCTGAGAAGGGTTTCGTTAAAGTGCACATAATTGGGTAGAGGACACGTTTGCAACTACACTTTTACAGCCTTGGGGCTTGCATCTAAAGAAGTTCCACTGAGAAAGATTAATAACGTAAACACCGTGTAGAGTTTTTACTTTCAGCACCATTTTAACTACATCCCCATCTATTTTCCTATACGTTGAAAAGTACACAAATGGACATATTATCAAATATTGTTTTTAACGTACTGAAATTAAAAGAAATATTTCAAATGTAAAACAGAAAAGTTAGAATTCATCTTTCTTAAAATCCATGTTCTATTATTCTATTATCTATAATCCAAGTCACTAAAGAACCCAAGAAGTCGGAGGGGTAACACTACACAGGGAAATACGTGAAGAAGTCGGTGCAATGTGGTTGTATAGCGCTTAAAGCGTTCGCCCCTCACGAATGCCCGGGTTCGATTCCCCAAATGGGTTCACTGTGTGAATCCCATTGTTGGTTTCCCCCCGCCTTGATATTTCTGGAATATTGCGAAAAGCGCTTAGAAGCTTACTCACTAATTAACTTATTCACCAGGGCCTAAAATCGGATCAGTGATTTTAGGCCTTTTTTAACATTATCCCATCAATATCACGGCAACAGTTAAAACGGGCTCCACACATTGTACACATTTCACTGAGCCCGGGACAAGCGTGACGACTTCCCTGCAAGGCTACCCTACAACCCTCGGCTCTTTGTAAAACGTGATAACTGTGTCAGTTGACGATTCCCAAATTGAAACAATATGTTAACCCAGAAATCCGTACGTAAAAGAATTTAGTGTGAAACAAACAAACAACCAACAAATGGTACACTATTAACAATTGTGTTACAAATTTATCTAGGTTTACAAACTAATGAAATTACTGCACAGTAAATACAATAGCAGTACACAATAGAATGGTAGTACAACATTATATGATAACAGTGGTCAGTATCAAATACACAAATGCAGGGGCGATAGCAAAAGTCAGTGATAATAATATATTCACCCAGCGGCGACAGTGACCAAGCTTCCGAGAAAGACCTAGGTTGGGAATCCGGGTTGAAATGTGATCCTCACGCGAAAGCTGGTCTTGATGTAACAAATATGAGAGATGTTGCATGAGAGATCCAAGAGGCACTCTCCTTATATACAGTCTAACTAGCTTCCGGAAATGTCCACACAGTGCCAGACCAGTTTAGCAACACTATAACATTACAGAATATTCCCTCACGCTCCACAGGGTACGGGTAACACTTGACAATTCATCTATCAAACTTTAGTCTTACAACGCTTCGCACTAGTTCTCGCTTCCGAAATCTATTTGGAAGGTGCTCGATAGCTCCACATCGCGTCTCACTTCCCGATTCCGTAAACATGTTTTAGAGACAGAAACCTTAAAAGCTCGAATGTTCTGCCAGTTTTCAACTTTATATTTCATAGTTTGGAAATCTATGATTACGGAGGCGTTTGTTTCGCTCTTTTACTCTCGTCTTCTTAAGATGTGAAAGACGAGAGTTTACGACATACATTCTGTTTACGCAACTGCTTTTAACTAGTTGTGCTGTTGGCATGTGTTGCTTGGCATTGCGGGTAGTATCTCTATTCACTTTGACGACATAAAAAAACCTCCCCCAAATCGCACTATAGTGAAATTCACAGTGCAAAAAGCGGCGACAAACACAATACAGTATGATTCTTTAATAATTGATGCCTTCTATAGCATTAGTGAGAGATTTCTAGATAAAATACATTGAGAACAAAAAAGAACTTCTTACAATCGTGTACAGTTTCATATATTTGCAATGAAAGACAAACGGGAAGTTGTAGATCGCGCATTATGTTTGCTTTCTAGTAATTATATTTATATTTGAACATCGTAACTATTGTCCAGTCATACCGGCGAGACATTCGCCATCGCCTGTCTACTCGTTTCCATTAGACAGGTCCCCAGTCTTTTATTGCTCGTCATGTGTGAATAACGCGTACATTTTGTAACTGACTTACAATTATACCACCCCATGCAGAAGCAATATAAATTGTTTATGTGAGTTTGAACATAGATTACGTTTGTTCGGAAATTATCATTTCTGTTGTATATTGGGTAATACATTTATTACCAATTCTGCAAGTGCAAAAATACAACAAAGCATAGAAGCTTTAAAAGATACTATCGAGTGTCGTAAAATCTCATCTTTCTCATTTATGACAGAAGGTAGTTCAACAAAATGACCATCGTAACATGAGCTTCTAAAACTATGAAATAGAATTTAAAGCAAGCAACGTATTTTTGCTGCCAAAATTACACAATGACACAATGCTCTCATTTTCTTTATTAAAGGCTGTGAATACCCAGCGTTATTATTGAAGGGTGTCAAACGTGAACATATGCCAACATGCGTCAATATGTGAGGGAAAATTGGGTTTAACGTCGCATTCAAAATTATTGCACTTGATTATCTAATTGTATTGATTCTATAGTGACGTGCATGCACTGTGTGTCTGTCTGTGTGTGTGGATGCTTGTACTAGTCAGGACTAATGCCGATTTAAAAGTGCTTGCCCACCGAGATACCATGCCAAAGTTTAACATGACTACCCGACTCAGACACAGAACATCGACTCCGAGCCGACCTGTCCTTGTTTAAGCCCCTTAATGCCAAGCGGCTGCGCTGGGTAACATCAAGAACCATCTTTTAACGTCGAACCAACACCAACACCAACTGAAACACCAACACTGTCACCAACACCAACATTATCACCAACACTAACACCAACTGTAACACCAACACTATCACCAACAGAAACACTAACACAGTCACCAACAACAACAACAACACACACACAACAACACAAACCGACACTAACAACACTCACACCAACAGAGCCAACAGAGACCTAACACCAACACTAACACAAATACTAACACCAACACTTACACTAAAACACAGCAACACATATTGATATAAGCCATCAGAGTTCTGTGTGTGATATTTCGCTTACCACAGACTGAATAATGACACCAGCCTTCTGTGTGTGGTGTTGTGCTTACCCCAGACTGAATAATACACCAGCCTTGTGTGTGTGGTGTTGTGCTTACCACAGACTGAATAATACACCAGCCTTGTGTATGTGGTGTGGTGCTCATCACAGACTGAATAATGACACCAGCCTTGTGTGTGTGGTATTGTGCTCATCACAGGCTGAATAATGACACCAGCCTTGTGTGTGTGGTGTTGTGCTCATCACAGGCTGAATAATGACACCAGCCTTGTGTATGTGGTGTGGTGCTTACCACAGACTGAATAATGACACCAGCCTTCTGTGTGTGGTGTTGTGCTCATCACAGGCTGAATAATGACACCAGCCTTGTGTATGTGGTGTGGTGCTCATCACAGACTGAATAATGACACCAGCCTTGTGTGTGTGGTATTGTGCTCATCACAGGCTGAATAATGACACCAGCCTTGTGTGTGTGGTGTTGTGCTCATCACAGGCTGAATAATGACACCAGCCTTCTGTGTGTGGTGTTGTGCTTACCACAGACTGAATAATGACACCAGCCTTCTGTGTGTGGTGTTGTGCTCATCACAGGCTGAATAATGACAACATCCTTCTGTGTGTGGTATTGTGCTCATCACAGACTGAATAATGACACCAGCCTTCTGTGTGTAGTATTGTGCTCATCACAGGCTGAATAATGACATCATCCTTCTCTGTGTGGTGTTGTGCTCATCACAGGCCGAATAATGACATCAGCCTTCTGTGTGTATTATTGTGCTCATTACAGGCTGAATAATGACATCATCCTTCTGTCTGTGGTGTTGTGCTCATCACAGGCTGAATAATGACATCATCCTTCTGTGTGTGGTATTGTGCTCATCACAGACTGAATAATGACACCAGCCTTCTGTGTGTAGTATTGTGCTCATCACAGGCTGAATAATGACATCATCCTTCTGTGTGTGGTGTTGTGCTCATCACAGGCCGAATAATGACATCAGCCTTCTGTGTGTATTATTGTGCTCATTACAGGCTGAATAATGACATCATCCTTCTGTCTGTGGTGTTGTGCTCATCACAGGCTGAATAATGACATCATCCTTCTGTGTGTAGTATTGTGCTCATTACATGCTGAATAATGACATCATCCTTCTGTCTGTGGTTTTGTTCTCATCACAGGCTGAATAATACACCAGCCTTGTGTGTGTGGTGTTGTGCTCATCACAGGCTGAATAATGACATCATCCTTCTGTCTGTGGTGTTGTGCTCATCACAGGCTGAATAATGACATCAGCCTTCTGTGTGTGGTATTGTGCTCATCACAGGCTGAATAATGACATCATCCTTCTGTGTGTGGTATTGTGCCCATCACAGGCTGAATAATGACATCAGCGTAATGTTTGTAATGTTTTGGTCAAATCTGATTATCA